AGCGGTTCACTTTAGGCACTCAGCCTGCCCAAAGTAGTTTGATCCTACAACCCTCTAAGTCAATATTTCTGTAATGCAATTGTTCCTACCACAAGCAGAAATTTCCCCTGTCTGTCTCAAAGCAGTTTCAAGTCACTGCATTTATTGTCATTTTGCCTTATTTGAGTGTAAAATTATTGTTTCAGTTTCTGGATTATTTAATTGACCAGTGTAACATTAAATATATGTGCATTAAATGATGGGACTTTTCAGGACAGGTTGAAACAGGAGCAAGTCAACATCATGAAATACTTCAATTCATTAAGGAATAAACGTGCGTATATTTTACTGTAATTTGCTACCCAAATGATTAAATTTTGTGTTCTAAACATCAAGAATAATTATAGCTTGGCTTGGAGGCCATCTGATTTCTATTTCACAAAAAGAAAAAAAAATAGAAGTACGGAGTTGTAACCACCTGTGTTATTTTCATATTATGTGAAAAAAAGGCACATGACTTCATAATCATTGCAAGTATTTGCTTGGAGATTTTGTCATCCCACTCTAAATGTCACACCAAAGAAGATCAGATTACCACCTGAGCTTAATTCCACTTGTGTGTGTGTGTGTGTGTGTGCATTGTCCATAGCTGGCAGCCTGCCAAGATGACAGTGAAGAAAAACTCTTAAGGGAGATGTTGCATAAATCACCCATGATTAAAAACAAATGTAAAGTGAAGGGGCTTTTCATCTGCAGTTCCACAGTGTGGAGATAACTGAAATGCAATTCAAATCCTGTTTGAACACTGACTTAACTAGATTATCCTTTTCTGTTTTCTGTAAGCTGCTTTGTAATTGTGTTTTAATCAAGTATTCAGCAATAGCGTTTTCTTTGCTCAGTGTTTCTTTGTCTTCCTGAAATCAAGATATGGAGATATGGCTGTGGATTTTAAAAAACATGCAGGCAGAATATTTTATTTTATTTTATTTTGAACAAGTATATAGAATGAACTAATGTCACACACAGTACCACAGCATGTAACTTGTAGTAGCAATGTCCATATTAGGTGAATACGTAGTATCACCGGCTACAGCATTCCTAATATAGTAAATCATTATCTTCCAAGCTGCAAAAACAACTTACTGTTATATTAAAATCATGGGATAAAAATTACTAATCTGTTCAGCAACACTAAAACTAAATACTCAAATCTAATAATACCTTTTGTAGTGTCATATAAGAAACTGTTCATTTAATTTGTGAGTATGACCATAAGTGTGTGTCTCCCTTAATATCTGACTTTCCTAGGCTTTCGCAACCTGCACCTGGATGATCAGATGACACTGCTGCAGTGCTCCTGGCTCTTTCTCATGTCCTTCAGTCTTGGCTGGAGGTCATATGAGCAGTGTAACGGTAGCATGCTCTGCTTTGCCCCTGATCTTGTCATCAACAAGTACGTAATATGGCCAAATGGCGTACATTTATGTAGTTTGTTCTTCAACACAACAGTTTTGTTTTGCTCATTTCAGGGTTAGAAGTGAAGATTGATACCACTCTCATGCCTGAGTCTTGTATATGGAGCTCGAAGCAGAAGTCAATTATTCTAAGTAAAAACAGAAAACTAGGACCAACAGCTAGCCTGACTGTGTCCAGGGTATAAGAAAATGAGTACTTATTTGTTAATTTTCCTCAGCTAGAAGAGTCTAAATTCAAAATATTGTATTAGTTATAGGGTAATGCAACCTTGGAGATCAAGGATCTGAATATTCCGAAGGCCAAACTAAAATCTCAGACGATGAAATTCTCATTTTACAGTTATTGGTATTAAATCAATAAGTCACTCTGCTCTCATTGTAGCAGTGGTACACAGGTGCTCAATCCCACAGGCTAAGGAAGGTGCTGTTTTTTTGTTGCAGGGCTGAAATGAAATGTGCTTTAATAATTATAACAATGTTAACAGTGATTTTTGGTATAAATGTATAGCTTTTTGCTTATGAACAGAAAAGGCACATCCAGACAGAAGAGAGCGTACTGACTACATACTGAACCGTACAGTAAATAGTTTTTTCTTACGATGATGCCACAGAGCTCAACTGCAGTATGTTAATTACAAAGCCTCATTATTTAAACAGTCACTGGCCGCGTAAATGGATTGTGCGTAGCTGTATGTGTGCTTACCGCAGTCTCTGAGGTTCCCAGAGGAAACAAGATGGGACACAGGCTCATCTTCTGTTGGCTTGTCTGTTCCAACCGAAACACTGAATTTTAAAGCTTAGAGAGGAGAAACATATTTGTCTCATTTAATCCTCGTCTTCGGTAATAATTTGTCATACCTTGATCTTTGCTAGACTTTTGCTGATTATTACATTACCTTCAACAATATGCATGATCTTTGCTAGACTTTTGCTGATTATGTCCCACATTACCTTCAACAATATGCGAGAGTTTTGGAGTTTATTGTCTAATGCTGGATAGTTCCATTTGATCATTTCATCATTTTTAGCCAAGAAAAAATGATTCAACAACTGCAGCTTCCATGTAGGGCCACGTTTCAAAATTTGACATGTGATAACTGAGTTTCAGTTGAGTACCCTTTCCAAAAAAAATACCATACTCTGAGTGCTATACATACATTTACAGTGTTCAGTTTTAAGTAAATACAAAGCACATGTACAAGACTTTTGGCCAAACAAAAGTATAAATTTAAACCAAGAATATTTGATTTAAAAAAATAGTAAATAACAAAGTCTGACCAATCACTTCAATGTTAATTTTCAGTACTTTGTGCTACTGAAGCATATCTTTATTCCTTTTTCAGTTTGCTAAATACTTCTTGTGGATTCTGGCAAAGGCTCTTGATTTTATATAACCCCTGATTCTGATATGATCATTTCAAGTGCAGTGTTCTAAATATGTATTACTTCATGGAACACACTGAGCCCTTTGTTTCCTTGTTGGAAATGCATAGAAACAGAGGTCTGAACTCTGTCATTCCCAAATGACACAGAGGGGTGAAAATCGATCTGAAAGGTGAAGAAGTTATTGCCAGCAGTGCTGCTGCTAGTCAGAATGAACAGACGGTTCTAAACCCAAGGCTATACTGTATATCTGGAGAATGTGCTCTATCAGTTTTAGAGGTAGACAGTAATGTGGGCTGTGTGTTAGTGGAAGTGAGGTGTGAAAATCTATCAAAACTGATTTCACAGCCTGATTTTCCCCTGCAAGGTTGAAGCACTTCCCCACTGGAGGCTGTTTATTGACATCTGAATAACAGGATGAGGGAAAAAGCTTTAGTCTAATCTCTCTTCCCTCCAGTTTCCTCTGTTTCTTCCTCTGTTGTCTCTACCTGCTCAACACTTACCCTTTTCCCCTCATCTCTTCTTTCCCCTTCCCTTTGTCCTTCTCTCCTTACAGGGAGCGTATGAAGCTGCCCTTCATGACCGATCAATGCGAGCAAATGTTGAGGATTTGTCATGAGTTTGTCAGATTGCAAGTGTCCTATGAAGAGTACCTGTGCATGAAGGTGCTTTTGCTGCTCAGTACAGGTAAAGAAACACACTTTACTTTCTTTTTTTATTTTTATTTTATTTTACATAGTGCAGGAGCTGCACTTATCTTAAGATTAAAACAGATCTATAAGATTACGTAATACTGCTCAAATCCTTTCACTGGATTAAGGTAGGCCCATTTGATCACAGGAGAGTACTATATTGAATGGAATGGCCACAAAGTACCACTCATACTTGAGCAGTATTGAATGGAATGAATGTATAGGTCTGGTTCAGTGCACCATCTGTAGATACTTCTACAGCTAATAACTGCTGCTGCAGTCAGATAGGATAGCTAGGAATGAATGGACATTTAACTTGCTTTCTTCTCTGGATCCATGAAGGACTAAGCATCTGCAAGCCAAAAAACATTTGAAGTTTACTGAAAATGAGAGATCAAACATGCACTCAGTTTACTATTAAAAAGTTTCTGTACTTTCATTAGATAAACGACAGCAATTTGCCCAAGTGAAGCACATTATGAAACCCAAATTACAAAAAACGTTTTTTCCCCATTTACACTAATTTCAGGTTTTCTGAGTGAATACTGGATCTGGCAGAGATTTATTATCCTATTCTAAATTTATTCCCAATTCATTTTGATTTGCAGCTAGTGATTTGCTTGAGTTACTTTAAAATATATGTCATTAAGGTGGGTGCTAACTAGACAGAAAAAAGTCAACTGTTTAGCAGTCCCAATTTTCCTTTCCTTGTGAAAAGGTGAAATAATGGACTGTTTTGAAAGCTGCAGGCTACTAGTCTGTTGTAGGGACAATATGTAATTAAGACAATTAAAATCACCAGAAATACACTGCACAGCATGTTGAAAATGTTACTAAATCTTTTTTCCCAATTATGTAAACTTCCCTTTGCTGAAGAGAAGCTCATTCTCCCTTCTGCCCCACTCTCAGCGAGTAGCAGGGGAAAGGATACAGTTTATAGGCTCATTATACAGAGGAAATGACTTCTGTAGTGAGCACTGGTTGCATTTTCATTGTATCTTGAGAGCTATTTCCATCTGTTCCCCTCAGAGATGGAAATGCTATCAGAATGGGGCAAGTTTGGTTTGAGCTGTTTTAAAAAGGCCCACTTTTCAGAAGAGTTAATATAGCACCATAAAATTGAAGCAAATGTACACACATTGGGTTATAATAGCTTTTTTTACTACAAACACTCAGAGTTGGTAGGAAATGCACACTAATGTAATATGAAATAATCATGGGTAGAGAGCAGAAAAGGCAGTCTGTTTTGAGCCTTACAGACAGCACTTGCACTTATCTGATTATGTAAATCAGACAGTCTTTCATTCCAATCATGCCCTCTTGGTTTTGCATAATCTTTAGACCAAGTGTTTGTAGCTTTGCCTGGGCTCAGTGCCAGGCACCAGACTGACAAGGCATCCTCCATGTGTTGACATGGTTGCTATGACGACTGTAAATTGTTTATCAGTGGTTTATGGTTTTTATCTCTTTAGTAAGTGAAAACTCTGTTTTTGAAATGCCCTGTGCACTTCTATGAGGTGTGTGTCTAAATATTTACTGCTCCTTTTTAAACTCTCATTCAGGCCAGGTCAGTTACGGAACACTGCACAGTACCTACTGATTGTTACCTTTGGTGTATTTTACATTGCCTGCAGCATTCTGGACAGGAGGTGTGTGCATACATCTGTGTGTTGTTATGCAGTTTCTCCTCAAGGGTCCTTTTTTAGGGTCCTGGACTAAGCAGAGAACAGGACAAAAAAAATAGTCTAAAACAAACAGCATGTCCAACTATAAAAATAAAATTTTCCAATGATCTCTGTGACATTCATTTGTAATGTCACTTTATGAGTCACAGTCCACCCATTGCAACTTGGCAGACTGATGTGTCTCATGATATTTGTGTATGTGTAAATGTTTGTTTAGTACCTAAAGATGGTTTGAAGAGCCAGGCGGTGTTTGACGAGATCAGGATGACATACATCAAGGAGCTGGGAAAAGCCATCGTCAAGAGGGAGGAGAATGCTACTCAGAACTGGCAGCGGTTCTACCAGCTAACTAAGCTACTGGACTCCATGCAGGCGGTAAGAGAAACAGACACACACACACACTGATACAGTAGAGTAAGTGCTTTGTGTTTTCCTCTATATTTGATATAGAAATTGCTTTGTGAAGTTCCCTGCATCATGTTCATTAGTGTAAAACACTGAAGAATACTTTCACATAACCCACTAAAGGCACATACATTACCAGTCAAAATTTTGGACACACTTTAACAATCAATTCAATGGGATAGCAAGTCCAAACCTTTGATTGGTAGTCTATTTATAAAACATCTTTATTGCAGAAGACCAAAGTCTAATTTAAAGACAAGCCTACAAATTGAAATAAAAAAGCCTTACAATATCTAATAGCATCTAACTAATCTGTCTGTGTCTCTGTCCCCTCGGATGTGGCCTCCAGATGGTCGAGGGTCTTCTCCAGATCTGCTTTTACACTTTTGTGAATAAAACCCTCAGTGTGGAATTCCCAGAAATGCTGGCAGAGATCATCAGCAACCAGATACCAAAATTCAAAGATGGGAGTGTCAAGGCCCTGCTGTTTCATCAGAAATGACTGCCTTAAACTGTGAAGTAATGCCTTAAATCCCGCCCTGCCTGTGTACTGCTCCGAGGCCCCAAGCTTTCACCATGATCCCTAAGCTTTTGCTTGACTTGGCTCCCCCATCACTTTGATTTGATTCCCTGCTTTCCTGCGCTCCCTTTAGGAACACATTAAGCACTTTCTTGGAGCACAATCCCTGTGGTGCCTCCTAATCCAGTCCCACGTTTGGCCAAAGTACAGTAGGATACCCTACCACTGACCTGTAGCCCTTCCTCTTGGCTAACCAAGAAGAATTTGGCCTTCAGGGAAAATGATTTTGCTCTGAATGTTTTGTGGGCAGGATGCATTTTTGGGGATTTATTTTTGCTCTATCCACAGCCCTATCCTCACATTGTTGATACTGTTTCTCTTGGTGGCCACTTGCCTCTTACTCTATCCTGCCTACAGTGTTTTACTGCTCTTTTCACTGACAAGCCAACACCAATTCTTCCTCCATTGTGACATCCAATATACTGTCCAACTCATCGGATTAGCAGCCTGCTGAAGCTCGCCCTAATTTCAAGCCTGTTGTTCCCTTACTCACCTGTCCAGTGTGTCTCTTTTTGCCCCTCCCAGTTCCACTGCACAGAGAATTTCCATTGTGGAAAGGGACAAAACAAAAAAGCCAACTAATTAGAAATATACGATGACATGAGGAGAAAAATGAGAAATTTTTCTTCCCCTCTGGACCCAAGGACAGTAACGAACTGTGAATCAGCTCTCTTTACTGAAGTTAAACAAATCAGATTGAATACAGACATTTTTGACCACACATGCAAAAGTCGCACACAAACATACAGAGTATGCCCCCCCACACGTTTACTGAGCAGCACGTATCTCAGAAAGGAAAACCAGTGCCTTTTAGCTTTTAAAGCTCCTCATAGCCATCTTCTCTGAACTGTTTTTTTGCATAGGAATCTAAGCTTGACATCTGTCCACATATTTTTTCCTTTTAGTTTTGCCTCACTGGCAATTCCTGTTTTCTTTCCAAACCACCATTTTGGTGTTTTTCATGTGGGCAACTTTCAGTCCTACAGAAGCCCTGAGAGGCAAGTGGACAGTCCTTTAACACGTTTTTTTCTCTCCTTTGTTTATGACCTAAGAACAGGTGAAATGGTTTTGCCTTCCTTTTAAGTTCCTTACATCTGTGAAATAGGTGGGGGAAATAAGGTTTTTCACTAATGGTGTAAAAAAAAATTTTGAACAGATTACAAAACAAAACAATCATGGGAGAAAGATGAAGTAACTTAGAAGGATTAGATATGCAAACCTTTTTTATCCATCTCTTCGTATAAACACAGGAGAGAAAAAAATTAGATCAGCCTTAGAAAATGCATCACCAGAATTTTATTTTATTCTTATTTTCCACTTGCTTTTTAGGGTTTCTGTACATTCTGATCCTCAGACATGACAAGATGGAAGACAGCCTATGGTACAGATTGGAAATGTTTTTAGGACTTAAAATTTTGACAGTAACATAAAAAGACAGGAAAATAATGGCAACATTTTTCTGAAGTCCCAAAATACTACATGTTTTTCCCCAATGGTAGAGTATATTTGCTTAATATACTGCAGCTACCAGTCAGGATCACATTGTGTTGAAAATTACAGTACCCAGATTACATCAGCTAATGTAATGTTGAATACACATCCAAATATTTTCTCTTTCACAAGCTTGTGAGAAACTGCAAAAACTGCTTTGTAGTAAATGGAAACTACTGGAAATCAAACAAGATATCAGATATTTTTGTAATATTTAAGGGCAGATTGTCTGATTTTAAACATTCCAAGACTACAGATCTTAGAATAATTAGTTGTTGTTAATTGGAATAAAATTTGTTGCAATTTATACAGATGCAATCGCACAAAGGGCGGTTTAGAACTGATTTCCATTTGAAAAACACATTCAAGATAGAAAAATTCCAAGGTGCCTGTGGTTATAATATAGCCATAATGATTTAAGTAAACCTTTCAAAACTGTCCTTTTGTTGCTAGCTGCATTCATACTGAAGCTCTAGTTTAGTAAATGGATTCATACAACTTTATTTTAAAATGTGTATTCATGGAACCCCACTTGGAATGACTTACCTGGCCACACTGCCTGTTTGAATCTCAGAAATCAGTAAGGTCAGATAAGAATGAAAATATTTCCTGGTGTGTGCTGTAATCTAGCAGGAGTACTAGGCCGGGTGGATTTTTTAGATAACTAGAATATAATAAGTTTATTTATTGATGCCATCTGAATTCTCTGGGTATGATTAACTTTGCCATGTAGTACTCCTGATAGGAAAACAAATAAGCTTATTATTATTGTTACTGATAAATGTATTGTTTCCCTTAAAGTACCATTTTAGATGAAATGTACCCTTTAATCAGCTTCATCTCTGTTTGCAAAACAGGAGCTGGAGTTATGTTCACTGCTGTGCTTAAACATGACAATGTTAAAATATATATACATATACAAAGCTTATATATATGTATAGGCTTTGTATATGAGATGTGAGGTAGAGACGCCCGTAATCGATGGAACATCTGTTCTCAGCACAAGAGTTCACCCCTTAAAATTGAAATATTTTTGGTCAAAATATTGTGTAAATTAAGGCTCAGGCTATGAGTGACTATATCAGCTGGATGTGCTCTACTAGTGCCAAATGTAATAGCAGGTTTTTGTATTTTTCTTTTTTTCCAGAGATGTGAAAGGGTGACTTTTGAGTTGTGATTTGACATTATGTGTTCTTGAAACTTTGCTTCAGGGTGCTCAGTTATGAGAAAGGTCTTAGTTCAGTGTCAAACCTACACCAGCTTAAAGTGATTGTTATAGGAGTATGACAGACTCCTCTTGGAGATGCACAAAATATTGTATTTGTGAAATTGCAAAGTGAGCAGCACTTTCTGCTGCTGTCAAACAGGTGGTGATCAGCATTTGGTACATTTGTAATGTGATAACATGATTGTACCAGCTTATGTAATAGCCAAAGCAAAATCCATTAACAGTTGTCTTATTTCTTTGGGATAATTTATGTAAACGTATTTATGGCAAGCTCTTTTAGCATTTAGCACTAGTTGGACATTTTGATGTAGTAGTTGAACAGAAACTCTTACTAGTCACTCTTTTTCTGCAACCAGTGGCACTTTTGTCCAACTACTTCCAACATAAGCCATACTAGTAATGCCAGGTGTCATACCAATAGTTCCAAAGTCCCAACTAGTCCACTTTTTGGCACACTAGTGGCCCTCTGGACCAAACTAGTAACGCTGAAAGTCTTACTAGTTAAGCTGTGAATTGAAAAACCTCATGTTAACTAGTCTCATATAGATTCAGGTCACTAATTAGCATGTTGCCTACAATTTTCTGTACTATTAACTAGCGAAGACCAAAATGCTGATCAGTTAAAAACCACTTTGACCTAACTAATGAGGTCCAAAATATCTACTAGTTATACTAGTGAGAAGCATTTTGACTTGCATAGTGAACTAGTAAGGTACAAAATGTTCACTATTGAACTAGTAAAAGCCAAAATACTCAAGTTAACTAGCTGTACCAAATGCTAATGAGGACATGGGGTAGAAGCATGCACTGAGGCTTCCTATTAGCTCTTCAGTTTTAAATTAGAACAGCCAACCAATAAGGACTCAGGCTTTTGTCTTTTTTATCTCTGTGCTCTGTCCAGAATCCTCTCAGATTCTCTATTACTAGTATAGCTCTTGTTGGAGCTAGCTGGACGAGAGTGCCACTAGTTGCTGAAAAAGAGCAACTAGTAAGAGTTTCTGTTCAACTAGTATGACAGAATGTCTAACTAGTACAACCAGATGTCCAACTAGTGCTGACAAAGACTAAAGTAATGGAGGAAAATGATATCTGATATCTAGAATATCAAATAAATGCTAAAACGGTTTACCATAAGTATAAGTTGTTTCCAGGTGCTTCAGAAAACCAGCTTCAACATGTAGATATAACCACATCCCTGCTCACTTCTAAATGCTCATAGATATATAGCTCACCACCAACATATCCATCGTAAAATGTTTATTTCAAAATATTTTTACATAGACATAACCTCTATCCACTTACATTCTCTTTTACCTTTCAGCCTCATGTTGGATTAAAGGCCTTGTGAAAGGGAGACAGAGAGCCATAGAAATAAGATTTAAAATCAGGAAATAGATAAACCCTTAACAAATATTAGTGCTTTTGAAGATTGCTCTGTTGTAAAAAGATATTTTCTGCGATTTTGAATACATCAGCTTGATCTTCTTTGATATAATAATTTTACTCGATCGTTTTTTAACATTGAATGTGTTAATTAAGTAAATATTTTTTCTGTTTGTTGGTTTGTGTTTGATAAAGGTAGATGTGTTGAATACATTAGGAAGTGTTGACCATGTTTGTCTTGTGAAGTAAATGTAAATTCTACATGAATGCCCGCTGCGTTTCAGAGAGATAGGGAAAACGAGGGAGAGAGACAGATGGGCGGTGAGATGGACTGGAGATTGTTTTGTGTTATATAATGTAAGAGTGACCAAAGCAGCAGAGAAGAAAAAAGATTTAATAAAAAAAGAAGTATTAAAGCAGTTACATTTTAAGTAGCACTTATAATACAACCTCTAGTACTTCTTATTTTATTTTAATGATATTTTGCATAAAGATCTAGGCTTTGGATCCCACATACAGTGCTGTGAGGATTTACTGGTCACTTGAAAAACAGAAAATGAAACATGTCAATAAGTAGTAAGTAAATCTACCAGAGCCTGATGGAATTGCACTACCCTCATGCAGGTCGATAAAGTCTATTTTGTATAAAATACATATTAAGAGATTAAGGGCAGATTATGTTTCACTGGTATATATGGCTATGGCTTTTACTGAAGTCTGTTTGATTTGTATTTCAGTTATGTAAATGTAATCCAATTAAAAAAACAAAAATATAAAATGTTTGTTTAAAAAAATACAACAGTTTGTATTACTTCTGTATTACACCGCTTCTGTAGCCAGTGTCAGTATTTTCACCTATTTGATTAAATGTTGAATTTATCTGTGTTGTTCTTTGACATTGGATTTGGCATCGTGTTGGTAACAACTTGAATGATGATATTGTCATCACTGGTTAAAAGTGGAAATTTGGAAAAACTGATTTCTCTTTGGTTCAAACATCTTACACAATAAACTATCCTATTTTTCAATGCTCAGCTCCAGTGGTTTTAATTTTTGTCTTTGAGATCTCGGTTAAATGTCCCCAGTGGTAATTACATGTTAATCCTGTGTCTAACTGGTCATTTATAGCAATAGTCACATTTGGGGAAATGTGCATTAGATGAGATTAGTTTATAGCTAGACCTAAGAGGCAGTTAGCTTATAACTAGACAAATGCATTTCCTGAACAAAATGCACGTGGTTGCTGAAGAATTGCCCTGAAAATGCTGAAATCCATTGCTGAAACAGCTGAAGGCTGAGATGCAATGCTGAGCAATTATGGAAGATGAAATGAAAAACTGAAGTTGGGAATTTAACTTCATTATCTGAAGAAGAAGAGAGCTTGAGAGCATTCCTAAAACAATGGAAGGCTTAATCCCAAAGTGAGAGGTAGAAATTAAATGGCTTAAAGTTTTAAAAGAATAAATAATTTTTACTGACGGATATATTTCAAAATATACCAACCTGTGTGTGTTACTGCGCAACACTGTGTTGCTTTGACTGTGTGATAGTTTGTGTGGTACCATGTTAATTTTAATGTTTCTGATTTAAGCAATTAAAATGTGTGCCTTGCCCCCTTTTCCTTGTTAAGATGTGTTAACCAATAGCAGAAACCAGTAAAAGTTCTAAATGTGTACCTATACAGCCGGTGGGCAGCTCGGCTGTTAACACCACAGACTTTGGAAAGGGGTGCAAGGGAAAAAGGGGTGCTTGGGTTTTGGACGTGTGAATAAAATCTGTAAATAAATTATGTTGCACAAAGACACTGAAAACAAGCGTGTTTGTGAACATCTGTGTACAGGCAGAAGTAGCAAATTGCACATACAACTCAATTTAGGAGCACCGAGGTTTATTGTGAATCACACTTGAATCGGATTGGACAGTAACAGTCCAATCACAGAGCAGAGTCAAATTGTCCAATCAGGTCGTAGCCGGGTTCCTCAAGTTAATCTCCGGTGGTGGTCCTGTAAGTTTGGTTGTAGTGGAGATTCCAGACAGATGCTAGCTGTTCTGCTACTCAGGTGGGTCGCATTTGAAAATTGTAGAAAATCACAGGAAACATTTCATGTGTTGCGTTCTGTATGTAGGCAGCGCGCAGGTGCTTTGCTGTTAACACAGTTGTCCAAATGTATTTCTATTCCAGGTGGGATACTTTATCTAGCGTTAGCCGAATGCTAATGTAGGATGTTAGCCGTCCGGTACTCTTTTACTTTAATGTCAATTGTCAGGCTAATGGTGAAACCTGCTCAATCTAGGAGAAATCTCTTCAAGTTGACTTGTAACTTATTCCATGTTGGATGTGTAGTCTTGTAGATGAAAGAACTCCTAGTTTTACATGCCCCATTAATGTAAATGTCTTTTATCTTGATATTAATCGTGCAGCTCAGTAAAAAACGCAGGCCGGTTTGGACCTCACCAAGTCTTCATCAGCACGGAAACCTAACAAATTGTTTGCACCTGTATGTTTCCGCCCTGATGAAGACCAGGTGAGGTCTGAACCGGTCGGCGTCTTTTTACCGAGATGCCCTGTTACAGGTAAGAGTGCTACATTCAACACGTTACTTAAATAATAATGCAAAGGCATTAGCAGTGAAATATACCTAAATTACCAAAAGTAGTCACTGTGTAGAATAATAGAATGTATTTTACATTGATGTATGTTATTTGGTTATAGTTTCTGGTGCATTATTGTGTTAATCATTTTAATGTTGTACCTGGTAAAGGTGGAGAGAATTTTAATAGTTAAAATTTGAACTTCTGGTGAGTAGCTTGTAAATGTCTCGCCAGAGATTACTGAAGTCTCATGATTAGGCTTATACTGTATTTCCTTTTTATTCATCTAATTCTGAAAAGAAACTATAACCTCAAGTTATCAAATAAATCTAGTGGAGTAAAAAGGTATGGTAAGATGTGAAGAAGCAGAAACTAGAAATAAGTACAGATGCCTCAATTACACTTATGTACAGTGCTTTTTCCAGTTCGATGCTGTTACTTCATTAATGTGACTAGTAAGTATAGGCTGGGAACATTAAGGAAAGATCAGGGGAGTATGGGAGGAGAGGCTTAGATGTGCAAGAAATGTGAATCGATTAGAGAAAACAGTTGTCATTCAAACTCCTGTTTAGCCTCAAAGTGCATCATATAGTGAGAAACCTGAATAAAGAATGCAATAGCCCTTTAATGAATCTTATTTGTGAAAGATGTGCATTTAGTAAGAGCTGTTGACTTTTCCTGCATGTTTGATTTTTATGAAATGTGTTAGTTTGTACAGGTTTCTGTCTTTCTGTGATCAGAGTCATTGTTATAACTAGGACATAGGACTAACTCCCCCCATGTATCTTTCAATAGGCCACAGAACCAAGGAGAAGAATATGGGACTTGCAGAGCTTAAATAGCCTCGGGCATGTTGTGAGGAAGACGGACAGCGTTCCAGGCCCCTGTCACTCCTACATATATGGACATCAACTGCAAGTTGATCAGGTGAGAAACATTCTAAAAATGTGGTGGTTCAAGTGAGAGTGCTATACTAGCACCGATAGGTTCAGGTCAGCCTGTAAGTTCTCAGCGCTTTGTTCCTGACAAACTAAAAAGTGTTCGAGTAACTTTTGAGAATTGCCATTACAATTCATATCAAACTAACATGGAGCACAGTGTAATTGTATACAACATTTCATTCTTTGTTCCAATTTGACCCATCTTTTCCACTAAACTTCCTAGTTTAATATGAGGTCACTCTGCATTTGTATCCACCACGTTTGTACACAGGGTCAGAATGAACTGTAGGATAATGAAGCTTTGTTGTTGTGCCTTAAACCAAATTCAGAGCCTGTATTGCTTTAGTAAAACTTTTGTTCCATCTGTAATGTTTATGGCAAACATTGTCGTGATTGAATTAACTGTTTGCTCTCATGTGAAAGCTGAGTTAACTGTTAGTGGCCAGAAACAAGGCAGCCCAGGGAGAATTAAGGTAATGGCAGAACGCCCTAGACCCTTCTGCAACTGAGGTGATGACTTGGACCCCACTGTATTTAAAAAGAATGTTAAGTGTTTGGGGCCTGTAAAATTAAATGCACTTTCTCCCCCACAGAATTTTTTTTAACAGGGTGTTAATGTTACAGTTAAGAACTAAGACCTGAACCAGTTTAAGTTGTAATAGCTTTATTGAAGAAAACCACCATTAAAAAAAAAAAAAAAAAAAGCCCTGACAAGAATGAATGTTGAACACAGGGCCATTACAACAATCTCCCACATGGAGCACCCTCATTTTGTTTTACTGGTGAAGGTTTGGAATAAGATGGGAAATCCCTGCTGGTGGGGTCAAGGTAGAGAACCACAGATGTGAGGACTCTTCCAGTCACACTACGAGAGGTCTTCACAGCTGTGGTTCTCTACGTTGATGACTCCACCAGTAGGAATTTCCCATCTTACCCAAAACTTCAGAAGCTGGATGAGCTGGGATGGAGAGCCTGCAAAAGGAAGAAAAAAAAGTTGTAAAGCTTTGATTGCAATAATAAATGGTCCATTTATAAACAAACTAGCCTTTCTTTATGTATGTCCACCAGAATGCTGCTGCTGGTCCGGCCACAGAATGACATCTGGTTAAGGATTGTCTAAGGAGGAAATGGAAAAATTTTTTGTTTACCCTCATTTTATGAAAACAGGCCATGCATATTTGGTCTAACAGTAACATAAGCTACTCTGCAGCTGTCAAGCACTCTTGTAAAAAGGTTCCACATTTAAGCAATACTAACTGAAGTTAAATTTCACTTTGAGAAGCTCTTCACAGCAATAAGAATTTAATGCAACATTTCACAATGGTCTGAACAATTTACTCACCACCTGAATTGTCTGGAGGTTTGTAGTGAGAGCCCACAGCATTTTGGGTCATCTGCCTCAGGTTCTGGAGTTGATTTACTCAAATCTTCAGGTGCACCTGTATTCAAATACATTGTTCAGTGTATAATTGAAAAATGTTGAAATACATCCTTTACAGTTAAACTTGCCTTTCATGAAATAGGAGAAATTAACTGCATAAATATTTATACATCTATGCAAAGTATGGTTAGTCCTACTGTTGTGCATATTGCCAAAATACAAGTGAACAAATATTAGTACAGTCTCAATATAATACAGGACTATTAGCAGCTCACACCTGGATGAGAAAGCCTGTAATGGTAATTAAAAGCTGTGCATCCACCTCAAGTGAGATTAGTGTCACCTACCTTTCTCTACCTTTATTCATGAACAAAGACACTCTTCATACAACAACACAATAAACCACCACCCCATATGCTGCATCCTAAAAATGCCCAGCTAGAGCATCTCTGAAGATGGACAATATTTTCTACAAACCTATGTATGAAATTACACCATTGTTCTGGTGATCTTACCGATATTAATAGAGAAGGGGTGTAGTGTCAATTTGTTCTTGAAGAGGGAAAATGTAAAGCATGTGTTTCCCATTGTTGGTGATCATCTGGAGTATCTTGTTTGTGTAGCCAACAGAGATAGGATCCTCTGGCCACTTCCACCTTGAATGTAGAACAGGAGGTATTACAGGAATATAAAAAGACAAGTGTTTCACAAACATATGTGTTAAAAAAGTTTTACAATGAAAATGAAATGTCTTCATTTGAAGAACACATCTTTCTGTGTTTACTATTTTCTACACAATATCTAACCATTCTAGGCACTGAGCAGTGAATTAACTTCACATGTGTGGTCTCCCTCGGATGTTAATGATTGTTAAAAAAAAAAGAAAAAAAAAAAGAAAAACATCACAAGACTCCATTACTTGCAGTTTTATACAAGTCATCCTCCCGTTAGTCTTCATTTCTGGATACTCAAAGACCTTTAGTAATCTAGATTTAGACATGAAATTTTCTCAATTGTTAACAGGACTCCATTCTTGGTTTGATGCAAGGCATCATATTTTCATACATACATACATATTTTCTGACGCATGCTCTCTGTCCATCTCGAGGTGGCTTCCTGACTGGACTCGGTCCCATAAGATGCCACCTCCAACTTGTGCCTGAGGAATGTTTAGTAATAATTAATGTTCGTATACTACAGCTATAAAAGGTTAACTGTATCCAAAGTGTCGTTATTTACAAGATATCACGTAAAGTTTGACTGAGGTGAAATACTGTGTGACTGTTTCTCCACATCTGGCCTAGATTCAAACACACCACTGTGTATTATAAAATAGCGCTGTTACTCAGTGTATGGCGACGGCGTTGGCTCGCCAGCCGACCCGCTCGGGAACAGGATCAGGCTCGGAGGCGGCGCCGGCTCGCCAGCGAACCCGCTTAAGAGGGATTGCTTCACCATCCTTGTTGGTGAATCCCTCTGGAGGAACAGGAACAGGGGCAGCGTTGACGTCATCGTCAGTGCACACCTCAGGAGGAAGGGCAGAGGCGGCATCGAGGCATCGAGGCTCCTGTTGGCGTGTCCTCGGCACACTGAAGATCTGGGACCCTGGCAGGGACACTGTCATCAACACACCTGCGGTTCTCAGACCCAGCAGAGACGCTTAGGTAACAACGCTGAGGGGTGGACTCAGGGACGGCATTAGCTGTCCATCCGACTTGTTCGGGCTGTTGTCTTGCTGCCTTATATACTCCACCCACTGACAGGTGGATGTAACGAGCTCATCAGTGTGATTCACTTCACCTGTCAGTGGTAACAATGTTATGTCTGATCGGTGTCAATAGTCAGAATTCCTACTGGTAACGTGAGTTGTACTGCACTTTGCTGCATTCTGTCTGTATTATTTTCCTACCAACATACATAGTTTTTTGCATAATGGTATCTATTTGGTAATCATTTGAATGTGTTAGGTTGACATGTAGTTTTTGTGAAATCAGTCCCCTCATTAAAATGCACATTTATGCAAATTCCTACCAGACCATCTACTTTATATGTACAGAGTTTCTGCTTTGAATTGTTCCAGACTTACTGTGTTCAAGAACATGTCTATTGCAGAGTCACAGACAGCAGCATGAACATAATGTCCCATCTAGGCTACTGTAGTAACGGGACATAAAAAGGCATGAAAATAAAAACAGACTTTTGAAGAATAGCACTTTAAAATAATAATGTCCATAATCACAATAAAAATAACACCCACAAACTCCATTAAGTAAGAATAATGAAATACATTTCAAAATAATGACTTAAG